TATTTGTTTTTTTTTTATTCGACGATCAACTAGTTTCATCCTTCGAGATCTCTAGAGACTTATTAATTTTGAAATTCAAAAATTTTCGAGGGAGTTGTACTTAGTCGTAATTGAAGTAACTTACGGGCGATAACTTTCTCTAGGCATTTCCAAATTTGAACTCGTCAAAGAAATATTGTAATTTATTGTTGAAACAGACACAAATGAGAATCCGCGAATCTAAGAGAGATGAGACGACTTTTAAAAAGTTCTTTCGTACTTTGCCGAAACTTGAGACATTGTCCAACGACGTAGAGAAAAGAAGGGCGTGCAAATTCTAAACATTTGGAGAGACATGCGAATCACGTTTTCTCCGATCGAATCGTTACTTTTTCACGTGTTCGCGCGATCATTCGACGCGTCCTCAGGAGCAAACGGCCACGGGACGAGATGCGCGGGGGAAATAGCAATGGAGGCGAACAACCGGAAGTGTGGCGTGGGTATCGCCTTCGAGGCTTCCGTCGGCGGGATCAAGCTACTCGATGGTTTGGTGAACGATCGCGTCGAGGGAGAAGCTCTCGGATACAAGCCAGAATTGGTAGACATTTACACGGCCTCGTGGGGCCCGGCCGACGATGGGAAAAGTTTAGAGGCACCTGGAAGATTGGCCACCGAGGCGCTAGAACGTGGAATCGCGATGGCAAGTACAGAGGCTCGAAATTGAGTGTTTTCGTTGATAAACAGCAGCGAGAGCTCGAGATTACTTGGAACATTAATTTATTCATTAATTATCCTACTGGCCGCTGATTAAGTCTGCGGATACCATACTTGCGCAAACTCGTACTTTTGCAACGTTAAACACAGATGAAAAACAAATTACTCTCTTATCTACATTCTACTTTGAATATTTTGTATATTTTAGTACTTTCTGCATGCTGTGTGTCTTTGTATCTTCGATCTTTCGTAAACGTCAGTGTGTTATAACACATTTCCATCTCATGAGGAGCATTTTTTTTTTTTCTCCCCGCCTGAAAAATTAGTCGAAATAATGAAAGTTCGTATAAATTTCGGGTCTCCATCTGGTCGAAAATTGGTCCCTCGGAGATCGAATTAATTTCACACGAGAAAACGAACACATACACCATGAAACAGTTTCATGAAAATATACGACGTGGCTACGAAGAATTAAATATTCATGAAGAATAAATCGCGCGGAGAAGGTCGAGGAACCAACGATGCATATTTATATCATGGACGATGCATATTTGTCAAACGATTCCCTCGTGATTTGCATTGTTTCATTCGTTACGGCGTTGAGAGCGCGTAACACGTGCTTTTATAAAGCGGCTTCTTAATATTATCGATCTCGTACGATTATCCAGGGCAGGAATGGCAGAGGCAGCATTTACGTGTGGGCTTCTGGCAATGGAGGCTTGAAATCGGACGACTGTGGATGCGACGGATACGTAGGAAGCATTTACACGATCGCTGTGGGCTCGGCTAGTCAAACTGGAAGATTTCCATGGTACGGTGAAAGCTGTCCTGCCACGTTGGCCACTACGTACAGCAGCGGTGCTTATCACGATCAAATGATAGTAAGCGACGTATCTCACATTTTCTGCAATGTCACAGTCGATACTTGGTAACTCGATGAAAATCGGCTTGAGCCTCTTGGGTGGAACAAAGTTCAGAATCGATTTTGTTCATTTCGTTAGAAAA